ATCGGCAGCTAAAATGCATTCTGATGGTCGACCACACGTTGCGTGAATTTGCATCAAACGCCCTTCAAGACAACTATTTCTTGCCTTCCGGCCAGGGGAGGAAAGGTCGTGTGCATGCTGAAAGTAATCGCACCATTTTTCGTTGCAAATTTCTGCGCATAAAAGCCAACTTTTGAGCTGTTTGATCGTCGCATGCATCTGAGAGCTGTGATAGTAGAATATGCCCACCACTGCAAAACTGTTGTTCATTGCGTAGTTTTGTTCATGGACGCCATTCGTGAGAACCTACAGCAATATACAGCTTCCCTGCAAAAGTGAAATCTTGCTCAGCGCGTGCGAAAAAAATGGCCCCTCCACCCCAAAGGGAATCGTGAGGAAATGCGAATGCGTTTCTTGCGTTAAGAGAGGGTACCGTTGTCGTCAGCCATTCAATTGCCTTCACCCAAATCTGTCATCGCCTTGAGAGGCGCCTAGCCAGTGAACTGGCGAGAGTGAGGAGCAAGCGGACGAAGAGTGGGGCGCCAGCGTTCTCGGCTGGCTCAGCGTTGATGCTTCACAGCGGCGTGTCGAGCCAGCGCCTCTTTCACTTAGTAGGGGAGGCACCGCTCGAACACACATTTCCGGGTGTTCTTGAGAGGCACCCAACCAGCGAACGGTCAAGAGTGAGGCGCGAGCGGACGGTAAAGTTCGGCGCAGGGAGGAGAGAGAGCGAACAGCGAGAGATGGAGCGGCGAAGCACTGTACCTATCCTCTCCACTCTCTCGCCCCACATGCTCCGGTTGCTAGGGGCGAGGATAAGCGCGCACGCTCGCAACTCTTGCTATGAGAGACGGCGTGAGGGCGGAGAAATAACACCTGCCGGCGCTCGGACACCGCCGCGGAAAACGCCGGATACCTGACATCATCATCATCATCCGCCTGACTACGTCCACTGCAGGACAAAGGCCTCTTCCCTGTTCTGCCAGTCAACTTGGTCCTGTGCTTGCTGCTGCGACTTTATACCTGCAAACTTTCTAATCTCATCTGCCCACCTAAACATCTGTCGCACCCTAACCCGCTTGCCCTCTCTGGGAATCCAGCCAGTTATCCTTATTAACCAGTGGTTATCCTGCCTACGCGCTACATGCCTGGACCATGTGCATTTTTTCTCGTTTTATTCAACTGTGATATCCTTAAACCCCGTTTGTTCCCTGATCCACTCTGTTCTCTTCTTATATCGTATGGTTACACCTATCATTTTCCTTGCCATAACTCGCTGCGTCGTCCTCAATTTATGCTGAACCCTCTTTGTAAGTCTCAAGGTTTCTGCTCCGTAGTTAAGTACCCACAAGATACAGCTGTTATATACCTTCCTCTTGAAGGATAGTGGTAATCTACCTGTCATAATTTGAGAGTGCTTGCCGAATGTGCTCGACCCCATTCTTATTCTTCTAGTTACTTCAATCTCGTGGTTCAGCTCTGCGGTTATTACCTGCCCTAAGTAGACATAGTCTTTTACAACTTGAAGTGCACTATTACCTCACTCAAAGTGCTGCTCTTTTCGGAGATTGTTGTACATTACTTTAGTTTTCTGCAGATTAATTTTAAGACCCACCTTACTGCTCTCCTAGTCTAACTCCATAATCATGAGTTGCAATTCGTCCCTTGAGTTACTCAGCAATGCAATGTCATCGGCGAAGCGCAGGTTACTAAGGTACTCTCCATTAACTCTTATCCCTAACTGTTCCGATTGCAGGCTTCTGAAAACCTCCTGTAAGCACGCGGTAAATAGCATTGGGGAGATTGTGTCCCCCTGCCCTACACCCTTCTTGATTGGTATTCTGTTGCCCTTTTTTGTGAAGCAATATGGTAGCAGTTGATCCCCTGTAGATTTCTTCCAGGATGTTTATATATACTTCATCGACGCCCTGATTCCGCAGTGTCTGCATGACAGCTCATATTTCTACTGAATCAAATGCCTTCTCGTAATCTATGAAGGCTATGTATAGTGGTTGGTTATATTCTGAGCATTTCTCTATTACCTGATTGATAGTATGAATGTGGTAGATTGTTGAGTAGCCTGTTTGAAATTCTGCTTGTTCCTTTGGCTGATTGAATTCTAATGTTTTCTTTACTCTGTTAGCAATTACCTTCGTAAATAGCTTGTATACCACAGAGAGCAAGCTGATCGGCCTATAATTCTTCAAGTCCTTGTCATCTCCCTTCTTATGGATTAAGATGATGTTAGCGTTCTTCCAAGACTCTGGTACTCTTCCAGTCAGGAGACACCTCGTAAACAGGGTGGCTAGTTTTTCTAACACAATCTGTCCTCCACCTTCCAGCAGATCCGATGTTACCTGATCCTCACCAGCAGCTTTGCCTCTTCGCATGCTCTCCAGAGCTTTTCTGACTTCTTTTATCATTACTGGTGGGGTGTCATCTGGGTTACTGCTAGTTCTCATAGTATTAAAGTCCTGGTTGTCTCGGCTACTGTACAGATCTCTGTAAAACTCCTCCGCTATTTTAACTATCCTATCCATATTGGTGGTTATTTTGCCTTCTTTGTCCCTTAGTGCATACATCCATTTTTTGCCTATCCCAAGTTTGCTTTTCACTGCTTTGACGCTTCCTCCGTTTTTCAGAGCGTGTTCAATTCTCTCCGTGTTATACCTTCTTACATCGCATACCTTACGCCTATTATTCAACTTCGAAAGCTCTGCCAGTTCTATTTTGTCTGTTGTACTTGAGAATTTCATGATTTGACGCTTCTTAATTAGATTCTTTGTTTCCTGGGAAAGCTTGCCAGTGTCCTGTCTAACTACCCTGTCTCCAACTTCCACTGCACACTCCGTAATGATACTCATCAGATTATCATTAATTGTATCTACACTAAGGTTGGTTTCCTCATTAAGAGCCGAGTACCTGTTCTGAAGCGACACTCTGAATTCCTGTACTTTTCCTCTCAGTGCTAGCTCATTGATTGGCTTCTTGCGTATCAGTTTCTGTCGTTCCTTCTTCAAGTCTAGGTGAATTCGAGACCGTACCATTCTATGGTCACTGCATCGTACCTTGCCAACCACTTCCACATCCTGCACGATTCCTGGGTGTGCACTCATTATAAAGTCTATTTCGTTCTTATTTTCGCCATTAGGGCTCCTCCATATCCACTTGCGGTTTTCTCGTTTTTGGTAGAAGGTATTCAAAATCCGTAAATTATTGCGTTCTGCGAATTCTACTAGTAGCTCTTCTCTGGTGTTTCTGCCTGATATAGCTTGACTTAAAAATGCATTCGCATTTAAAAGTCTGCGGCACGTCGCCCGTGCCGAAACATCGCGCCGTATTTGTCTCCTGCGGGCGCGACGAGTGGCTTCACTGCATAGTCATTGAACATAATTGACAGACCTATAAGCGCAACTCCGCTCCTGAAGGAAGCATATACAGTAACTCTATTTATCCTCAAGCTGCAGAGCTACCTTGCGATGGGTGGCAGGTCAACCGGCTGACAGTGGCTGTCTCTCATTGGACGCTTGCCCCTGTCACAGCAGGGGGTTGGCAGTGAGAGAGATATGGCAGGCCGTCGATCCGTCGACTCCACAAGAATGCGAGTTTTTTTTTTTTCGAAATGGGCCAAATCCAGAACCGAAACTAGCTCCTCTATTGGCCCTTACATACTCTTAACTTTACTCTAAAACAGTAATAATAAATTAGTAATTATTATTATTATTTATTATTACTGTTTTAGATGAAAGATTAGGGTATGTGTGTGCCAATACAGCCTTATCTGAGCTATAGTTGCGACGATGGTTATAGCGCGAGAACAGAACGACGACAAAGAGACAAGAAGGACACGAGCGCTAAGTCTCTTTGTCGTCGTTTTGTTCTCGTGCTATAACTATCGTCATGTCATACCAACTAGCCCAAACTGCCACACTCTTACAGATACGGTTCTGTATTTGGCCAATTTCGAAACAAAAATATAAGCTTTGAACAGCTTAAATAAATGCATCGTGTGCAAGGCCATTCGTCCTGTCTCACTCTATCTTAAATTTACACTACTTGTTTTATGTGCATGCCTTTTTTGTATATTGTTATCATAGTTCTAAACGAAAGTTTACAGTGTAATGTTCGAGTTTAACATTATCAATTTCTATTGTTTTATGTGTAAAATGACAGTATGATCGTGAAGCACACGTTATAGTTGTGGTCTTTGGATTAATAAGGACCCCTTGAGGTTCTTGCATTCCACCCCCATCGTAATGTGGCCGCCGTGACCGCTAATTGAACCCATGTCCTCAACACACGTTCACCAGAGCTATCATGGCAGACCCAAATATTTGCAATCGTGAAGTTGATTAAGATTGAGGTGATGTGCGCAGTGTGATTTTTTTTTTTGTTATTGATCATTACTGCATGTGAGCAAGAAGGGCTAGTAAGTGTGGTGTTCATTAGAGGTCTTTGCACCACAGATACGAGGAAAGGAAAGCGCGTGCATAAGTTAATAAAGTGTTCATGTTGGTGAAGCAAGCGCAGCATTTGTCAAGCAGTTGAATCAGAGCTCCTGCCTGCCATTCGCCAAGGCACTCGATTCCCAGCGCCACCAGGCAACCACCAATTCATCTACTGAAAAGAGGTACCCTGCTTTGCACTCAGTAGTGTGGGCACTCATTTGTCAAGAAGTTGGGCTGTCCTTTCCACTATTTTTTCTTTACAACCTTTACCTTCCCCGAAAAGACTCTGGTTTGATCGCCTGTATTGAACAATGTCCTTGGGGAGATCTTCACCCTAATTTAGAGCTGCCGCATTACGTTTTAGACATGAAGAATAACGCTGGAATAAATCTAGCACAAACTTCCATATTTTATAGCAACAATGACCGATTCACTTTGTGTTTTCTGTCCTTCGCTCTCCTTCCTATTGACGCCGGCTGTGTCGCCTACAAAACACATCGTCAACTTGTTTGACATATCCCACCAAAATGCCCCGTAGAGAGAAATAGGAGTATGCAGAAACAAGGAACTGACTGTGTTGATGAGAACTCTTGCTGATCCAGCGCTGGAAGGCTGCGCAAGTGACCGAGGCTGGGCACCTACTGACCGTGTGTCTGAATGGACGCTTGAATCACTGTGCTCTGGAAAGCTAGAAGAAATGGCAAGAAATACATCAACACTTCCTTCAAACATTTTGAGAAACCTCGACAAATGCGAGGGAGGTGGACTAACCAAGCATCCATATAATCCACACGATAGGGGCTAGAACATTTACGACAGGTGTGTGAAAATATTTGAGCCTTCAAGTACAAAATACTAATTTTGCCTTTGCCTCTAGCCTTGCCTCTCACCTCTTACCCTTCTCTCTCAGTACGCAGCAAGATTTACTTCAATTTCAAAATGACCGCAAATACGACCTTTTTCCTTTCTTACTAATATACCAGCTCTTAAGAAAGTGTTCCCAATAATTCCCAATAATACTGCACTACTAACCACCGTTCAAACTGTTAACGACACTGCAAGGTGCCACTTCTAAAGAGTCCTTAAAAAAATTTTTCAGCATGGTCATTAAAAGCTGCCGATTGGTAGTCGACTCTTGAGAGTGCGCCAGCTAAACATTGTATAGCGCAGCGCACGGCCTCGAATTCACATTACATCTTGAAAACCAGCCAGACATTGCTCTCTCTTTTTTCTAGAAACGATGTCCATAAACCCTAATTACTACTCAGCCCTTGGCTCAATCGAGCATCGTGCACTTCATGGTTACGACGACCGACGGCCGTGATCCCACCAAACGTAAGCTGCACGTTCGAAGAAAAAAAAAGGGAAGTGCTCAAGGTCATGACACAAGCTGACTGAGACATGCGCTGACACGTGCATACTACTCGATTTGTCAGTAGAAGGCATTCAAGAACACAGTTTTAGTAGTATGCGTGATGAGCCTAACTTTATGTGCCTCAGCCAAAAAAAATAAAGAGTTGCTGAATGGAAGAAGATATCTGCTCTTGACTACCTCATGTGAATATAGGCCTAGGAAAATTTCATCCAATTAGGGCTACTCCATGCAACTTCTTCCATCAGAGTTTAGTACAGTGTAAAGACCAAATCATTCTACCAAAAGTGAACCAACGTTATTCACAACACCAAAGTTTGACAACTTCGTCATCTAAGAAGTAATAGAAGTTGAAAGCATTGGAGTACAATTCATCGAATGATAGAAAAAAAAAACATGTTTGATCCCTATGCCATAACAATTGGTATAACACAAAAGTAAAACATGCCCTTACATAAGTAGTTCAATGTTTATTATTTATATTCATAAAAGAGAGCTTGCACAAGGTCTGTTGGGGGTTAGGCAGCTCCAGCACTGTTTAGCATGAACAGAGCCACATTGGTTCTTGGTGGCACATCTTCATTCCGACGAGTAACGTCATTGATCAATGATTAAAGAAACCTCTGTGGTAGCTGCAGTAGTTAACGGTGCGAACGAAATCTGAGAAAGCGGTGTGACAAAATAATGTTGCCGACTGGACGCAGAATTTGAGCTAAGGTCAGCATCCTACGGCAAGTTAAAGAGCTAGTGATCACCATGGCCAAATTAGAGTGAAACGCAATGCGCATCATGTCTACCCTCTAGCCCAGCTGTGATTGATTTTTCTCGAAGCCAGCACACGCAGAGAACGCAGTGTTACAGCCACAGGAGGCCGGCGCGCATTCTACAGCTATCTTCAGTACAAACGGATGCTGTGGGTGAGGCAGGGGTGTAGCTAGGGGAGGGGAGGTTCCAACCTACCTACAAATTTTTATTTCGCTTGTGTTTGTGTGTGCATATATATATATATATATATATATATATATATGACATGATGAATGGGAGACGTGGCCTGGCTCATATGCCATGTTTATTCTGTTCCGACTTCTTCCTTCTCGGCTTCTACTACAAGTCACTGCCTTCCTACGTCACAGGATTCCCCCTCCCCCGAAAGAATGCACGTTACAATCAACAAAACAACAAAAAGCATAAAGTGAAAAATGTCCAAATGTGCAGTAGCTCAATTTCAGAAGGGAGTTTTTTAACTCGCACAACAGCATCACAGCACAGGGCAGCAGTCCGGTCATATCTAGGGTAGCTCTGGTGGAAGAGGCTGGCTGTTGCGCCCGGGATAGCATAACCCCGCTCTGCACATCTGCACTGATGATGACACGACTTGAGGTCTTGTGAGGAACGAACAAGGCTTGAAATCTGTGCAGCATTGAATTGACGGATGCCTTTGGCATCCGATCCAGCGCCGTCGTGGCAACAGACGCTTTGATTCTAGTCGGCGTGCGTGGGAACCACGGCTGATGGGACGATGTCTTTTTTTGTCCGTTGTATACGTGGCAGCTTCATGCCTGTTTCGTAACGTTCTGTGGCATTCTCTCAGTTTGTTGGATCGCACACATGGCCTTGAGAACTGGTGCAGAAATTTTTGTCGATGTTGCTTTCTGTGAAGATGGCTCAAACATTGACTTTGCCTTTGCTTCTTTAAATGCTGCTGTCTCTGATGACCTTTAAGCCATAGGTGTAACCGTGAGGAGGTTTCACTTGATCGTTTTGTTCTTGTTCGAGTAGCCGTTGTAGTTCCTGGAGTTCGTGGAGTTGCCTTTGTTGGAATTGCTTGTTTTGTTGCGAAAGTTGGTCAGATGGGCATCTTTCAGGAACATGGGTCTGCTTTCCTTTGCATGGTGATGTGATCAATAGATAATCAGTAGTTGATACTGTACTGCTGGGCTTGTCTTGCGATGAAAGCAGCGTGACAGACTGATGAGAAAGCTCCCAAGATGGTTGCAAGTCATCATTGATTGTAAATGCTTCTGTCAGTTGACAATGCGCCAGCGTTGATAGATTCAAAATTTCTGCAGTGCTTTGACTCACATGTGTGTTATCACTTGACGATGAGAGCACAACAGACATGGCTTCAGGTGGTTCTGATGGCGTATGTTTTTCTTTTTGCAGCGAGATTAGGCTGAGAATGTCTGTCGAACGACCCTGGTCCGGAACGTCAGGGTGTGGGCTGGTATTGTGAGGCTTCACCAGCTCATCACGTGTAAATTCCGTCACACGTTCGAAGCCGTTGGGGCCTTGAGTGTGACACGAAGCATCAAGGGATTCGGGTGGTTCAGTAACATCTGAAGTGATGTGGTGCAGTGAACACATTGAAAATGCCGATTTCACTGCTTTTGGAAAAGCCAGCTTTAGGTTCAGTCTTTTGGCGAAATGGTCTAAATTGCTTTTGGTATACGGGGGCTTTACCTTGTCTGTTGCAACGTGCAAGTTACCAGTCGGTGTTCGAATGCATGACGTTTTTTCAGAAAAGTCATATGATGGTACAATGGTATATTTTTCTGAGGTCTCGGTTGAAAAATAGGCTTACTGCGGAAAGACTTCACGTAACTGTGATGGGTGAGTTGAAAAGCCTTCCATTGATGAGGTATGGACAGGTCTTCATCGTATTCTTTGAAAAGGGTGATCATTTCTTCTTTATCTTTTTCCAAGACTCATCGTTCTCGATGATGTGAGTGAGGTAAAATTTGAATGCTTCACCTGAGATGTAGTCATTGAAGTTGGTGATCATCTCCCGTTCCGACCAGAATCAGCGGCGGCGTGGAGCTCGAACAGGTTGAACCAGTCCTGTATGGGTCCGTCGTCCGCTGATCCTGTGTACTTCAGGATGTCGAGGTCTGTCAGTGATGATGCCATGGTGCTAGTCGCGACATACAGCGATGATCCGCTTCTGCAGTCCACATACAGTCAAAGCGCCATGTTGAGGGCTTCGTTAATGATGCGTGGCTGATGAAGTGGCTTCCAGGTCTTCATCCTGTCGACTCGTGTGACGTTAAGATAAATGGGAGACTTGGCCTGGCTCATACGCTATATTTATTTCGTTCTGACTTCTTCCTTCTCGGCTTCTACTACAAGTCGCTGCCTTCCTATGTCACATATATATATATACACAGTACACACTCAGTAAACGGAAATCTGTTAAATGGAACTACTGCTTAAACGGAACCACCGGCTATCTATATATATATATATATATATATATATATATATATATATATATATATATATATATATATATAATGGGTCGGCTTCCACACGGAAGCCTTGTTCACCAGCTTTTTGATTGGCGTCCAGTGTTTTTATTTCTACCATGCCATTACATCCCAAGCTGATGAGATCTTGTTTAATTCTTGAGATCACACTGCATTGTAGGTGAGCAGCATGGTTTTCTGGACCAGTTGGTTTGTGATGTGAAAGTTAAGAATACCAGAAAGTTTCAGAACAAGAACAAAGGAACAGACAGGATACAGCTAGACTTACAACTGAAGTTGATTAAACAACAGTATTCCCTAGGACACCATCACGAATGCACAAAAAAAACCAATGACACATGTAGGAACATCCCAATCTTCTGCCAACTGGCACTGGAGGGCACTTTCCCTTGCATTGCAAGAGGTGCAGATGCACACCCCATTTCGGCAGTGTCTTGATTGTATTGAGGGAACATAATAGATTGATGATGATATGTGATGTCCCAAAACCACCATATGATTATGAGAAACGGCTTAGTGGAGGGCTCCACAAATTTCGACCACCTGGGGTTTTTTAATGTGCACCCAAATCTGAGCACACAGGCCTACAGCATTTTCACCTCCATCAAAAATGCAGTCGCCGCAGCCAAGATTCGATCCCACGACCTGCAGGTCAGCAGCCCAGTACCTTGGCTCTTAGACCTCTAGGGTGGGGCGGAACACAATAGATTAGAAACAGAAACATGCGAACCACATCAAGAAGTTGGGTGCTGAATTATGTGTTAGTCAACCATCGGTGCATATCAAAGATAAAGAATTTCAGTACCTGCATAATCTATAAATTTCCCATGTAGCACAAGTGTTAAAGGGGTCCTGAAACACTTCTTCAAGTTCAGTTAATATGTTTCACGACAAACATCATGATGCTGTCTAATAAAATGGCCACCACTGGATCTATCAGCACGAACACAAAAGTAACTGTTGAAAATTGACCTTACAGCCTCTTCCCTGTGTTGATTTCACAAACAAATAATGCCTGATGTAGGTTTATAGACCAGGGCATCACCAAATATTTATAGGAGCTGTGTTAAGTTAAATTACCTCATTGCTTCAGATGCCCAAACTGGCACATTTATTTATTACTTGACTTCCTCAGCCTACTTGCCTAAGCTGTAAAAAAAAGTATTTACGAAACAAAAGCATCTGAAAGGCAGGTAGCCCCCCCCCCCCCCTAAATAAAATCCTGCATATGTCCATGATCACAAACAACAGTGGCTCATGTCCAGAATTGTGAGTAAGCGTGAACAGACAAGGAGGTAGAAGAGAACTGCCATAGACAGAGTGCTACTTTCAAGCGATCTTTTATTTTCCATGGATGCAAACCAACTAGCCCACCAATGCATTTTAACTCATGTCCAGGATAACCATTTTCTCGGAAACATTGAAAACATGTCACAACTTCTCTGCAGCTAAACATAATACTTGCAATAGTTGTTAGTAATGACAGATTAAATGTGGCGCATCATTCTTAGTGTACCAGTGAGCTCGTTCTGCACTGTTTTCATTTCATGTTGGGCAATACATGTTCTGACAATGGGCTATTTGGACACATTTAACAGAGTTTTACATCCAAGCTTACTGTGTGGCCAAAATACAGAGCAATTTTCTTGGTTAAAAGAAATGATGCATTAGAAATATATTTAAATGAAAACCATTATCTGGAGTTCTACGTCCCAAAACCACAATATGATTATGAGGGATGCCGTAGTGGAGGCCTCCAGAATATTTCGACCATCTGGCGTTCTTTAATGTGCAGTGACAGCACACACTACATGGGCCTCTACCATTCCCCCTCCATCGATATGTGACCACCAGGGCTGGGATCGAACCCGTGACCTGGTCAGCAGCTGGGTACCCTAACTGCTACACCAGCACAGAGGGTGTGCATTAAAAATAAGAGAAGATAATAATTGTTCAGAGTGGAATGTCATTTTCATTTAAATATTCCTGTGTTAGACAAAGAATTAGAAAACAGTTGATGATACTGATGTGTGTTTGATGCTCTGCATCATGAAGACAGACAAGACAATAACATGAATGGGTTGCCAATTCAGGCAGACATTTAGATTGAGCACATTCACACCAACCAGGCAAGTTTGAGTCATCTGCTGATGGTTAACTTTAGCGTGAAACAAGAAATGTTCTGGTCCATGCATAATTTGAAACTTTTATCTGGGATTGTAGTAACAAAAGAATAAATAAATAAAACAAAGTTAGCCACGTGCTGAATAAGTGGAAGTCAACAGTTTCGCTGTTTTCTAAAGATATTGAAGTCTCGAATTTTCCACATACACACAAAAAAGGATATAGTGCACAAAGTTCTATTGACTGCCAAATGTAGAAATTATGAGGTGTGCTCCAGTAACTCTCGACTAGTTCGCATTCCAACTGGTATTGCGCTTAGAGAAGTACCACAAGAAGTTGTTTTTTCATACCTTGCATTGAATACTGCAACACTTTGAAGTATGCAAATGGCAGAGTAGCTAAGAAGCGCATGAAAATTGCAATCACTAGCAAGCAACAAACTACAGTAGCCATTTACCTGTCAGTAGACCGGAGGTCTTCAGAGTTGTTTTTTGCCACTCCATCTATCGTAACAGTTGTCACATGTGCAGGTGCTATCCTTGGAGGTAGTGGTGTGCTTGTCACAAATTTCACACTTGCTTTCTGAGCTGGCTGTCCTATTGGAGTCAATGGTGTCGTCAGAAGAGCTGACGCAGGAGATTTGACACGTGAAGGAGCAGAGCTAGTGGCACTTGTTGGGGCAGATGTATGAGGTGTCTGCACTGGGGGAGATAGATATGCCAACAATGAGTCTGCCGAGTTCGACGTCTTTCTTTCACTTTTTTCACTTTCAACCACAGATGGTGGCACAGTCGGGGTCGCCATGGCAGCGTCCATTCTTTGAAGGAGGTTCCTCTTCAGACGCTGAAATTCCTTCCAGAACTCATCACTGCCTTGACTTTCATTTTTGCTCTTATCCTTGTTCTCTTCCTCCTCTTCTTTGAGTAAACCAGGCAATGTGCCTGGACGAATGTCAGTGCAGCTTGTGCTGAATACGTCGCCCACCTCAAACAGCCGATCAACGGATGTATTCATCAGCTTCTTGCCAGTCAGATGGAAGGCCCCAAAAGAACGCGACATAGATGAGGACATGTCTGCCATTGATAGAGCCATCTTGGCACAACCACTGAGAGCTGGGTGGCTGCCAGCAGAAAAGAGGCCCCCTTCCATGCTGGCCATTATAAGTGACCTGCTCATTGGAGTGCGTGGAACAGCTGAATGTGGAAAGACGCGCGGCTTGATTGGTGTCGCCAGGATTTGCTCTGTCCAAGACGCTTCTAGGAATGGTTTCACCAACTGTCGAATGTCAACATTTAGCACTTTCTGTTCAAATGGGTACGAAAAGACCTCTGGTGGGAGGCACTGAAGCCACGAAAGAAGGCTGAGATCAGCATCAGCACTTCCCAGGAGTTCGGTGAAAACAAACTCCTCATCCTGAGTGCTGCTTGGTGGAAGGGTTGCCTTTTTCTGGCAGAGGTTAACACTAGTTTCATACAAAATTCCCTTTATGAGTAGTTGGACCAGCCGGTCGCCAGATGATGTTCGACTGACCGACACTGGAGACTTCACTGGAGATGGCAGTAGCTTCTCCACGAGTGGCAACACCTATGGAATGAAGAAAACAGTGTTTTGTTTAACAATGACCCAGAGGTAATCAGTGTAAAACAGGGCATAACAATGAGCACAAAATGATACATCGATAAAATAAAGCTCTATTCCCTATAGCGCGTGACAAGTCAGGAATGCAAAAATCACACTTGCCACAGCAGCATGTTGCATCTACTCTTCGCTCCTAGCAAAGTTATTTGCTGGTCAGACAAGCACTTTCTGGTGAACTGCTTAGAAGGCAAATCATTGGAAGTGGAATGATTTTTTAAACATTGGTGCACTGTTGCTGTATTGCCATCATCATCAATACATGTTCACAAAATTGCCACCACACACGGCCAAGGTAGGGATGTGAATAATAACTACAGGCATATGCAGTGTTTTACTATAGTATATGCGTGCATGTAGAGAGAGATTTCAGTAATAAAATTTTGTAAATGTGACTGCCATTTGATTGGAACAGTAGGCTTGTGGTTTACCATTTTTGTAATAGTGCACCGAAAAAAATATTCACTAAATGGTATTATACTTTCTGCAACTCCTGATTAACTAAGCTCTTACCCTAACTGAAAATGAAGCTGAACAAGCAATCTGAACAACATGCACATGTTAGTTATTCAAGTGTTGGCCTAATTTATTCAAGCTTCTCAGGAAATTAAAAGTGGTTAATTACGAGGACATAAGGTTGACACCGTGAGCCATCATTCTTTGATGTGAATTTCTCTTAACTTGAATGACAGCACACTCATTCTTTTTTCTTATGTTTTTCCTACATATTGCAATGTGTCCTTGACTCCTTAAAATGGATAACAACCTCGAGTCTTATGTGTCAACCTGAGCTTCGCTAATAAAGTTTAATTATCCATTATGCGAGTCTGCCCTGCATTGCTTGCAAACAAATTGATATTTAATTTATTTTTTACTAACTTCTGTTTAAATTGGACACAATACATAAAACATCGTACAGAACTGTCAGCAAGACACTATAATTCAGTGCATGCAAGAGCTTTGATCTCTGTCATCCAATTAAATGCGGCTGAAGTGATGCATGTTTCCTTTTTAAAACACTAAAATTGAAAATTGCCCGGCAAGTACAGCATGTCAACAAAGGATTATGAAATGGCAGCAGTTTCAAATAGTGATAAAATTGTTTCCATAGTCTACCACCCAACAGAGAAGATTTGTGTACTATGTTGTGGAGAATCTCACACTCTCTTCTGGCCTTAATGTTTAACCACCATTTTTGCATGGTGTGCCAGTGTGCTAAGCTTGAGGGCACGAGCCTCATACCCGCATTCGGAAAATGCAATTCAATGAGGCCGAATGACTAAGAACACCCTTTTGCTTAGATTTATATACACATCAAAGAAACCCAGATGGTTGAAATAATCGCGAGTGCCCCTTGTAGAGTGCGCCTCACTCATATTCATACAGTGGTTCTGGCATGTGTAACCACTGCAATTGCTATACTATCATGGTGTGCCAGTAGTGAGCTTCAATATCAACATTTTCAAAAAGAGCAATGTTCCTAAAGAATTATACTTACGTGCATCTGGCTTCGAAAAATTTCATTCCAACACGAGCTCACCTTACACGTTCAATGTCATTCTATCTTGGAGCTTTTAGGGACAAACCTTGAAACTGTTATTCATAACTCTGGTAGATACAATGGTTTTGGGTATTAGCAATCACTGCCCTGCTTAAATAGTGTAAAAAACAGAAAGAAGAGAAGTAGAAGCTTTTACTGTACAGCTCATCACAAAAGCTCAGACTTCAGACTTTTGAAATATAGATAATGCAGCAATATTGGCCTCTCCTTTCCAATACAGTTAATATGAATGGGACCTAGAACAAAAAATTTTTTGTTAATACCATAGTAGACATGAGGTGTATAACATTAAGAGAACAAGAAAGCTACAGATTTCAAAAGAACACCTAGAAAAAATCCATCATAATAATGGCAAGTATCATACATATCTGTGCAAAAATTCCGAATTGCACTTCAAAGCAATGGTTACAGATATCAATTATATATTATAGTTACTGGTGCAAGATAGCAGCATTATCAGAAGCTTTTCACAAATGTCTCTCTACCACACTTGTATGGCATGTGAAATAATGTTTTATGCCATCAAAACAAAATCGGTGAAAGAAAGAGCGCACTGTGCAATGGTACTGAATAAACCAGCAAGGAGCTCGCGAATCACTTTGACCAACATTTCATAAGCACGATGAAGGAACGGAGTTTTGAGAGCCCATAGCGGTATCTGGGGTTTAACACCCCAAAACCACGATACGATTATAAGAGACGCCATAGTAGAGGGCTCTGGAAATTTTGACCATCTGGTCTTCTTAAAGGTTCACCGACATCGCATAGTACATGGGCCTCAAACATTTTGCCTTTATCGAAATGCGACCACTTCGGTCGGGATTTAACGTACGACCTTCGGGTCAGCAACCTAGCACCATAACCACTGATCTACTGCGATGAACAATTACGAGGGCTTGTTCTTGTTTGTTAGACACAACTTTAACCAAAACCAGCACAGTATAAAGCCAAGAAAGGTACAGGGAGATTGATTTTACTGTTTTAGGAGCACTGTAGTCACGTTGATATATATGTAAAAAAAAGTAAAGTAGACAAAACAGCTTCCCTGCTGGTTGTAAGTTGCCTTTTTGTCCACTTTACTTTCTTCACGTCTAGTATGTCACAAGTGCTGCAATACACTTAAAACAGCACAAGTGGCATCTCCTATACCTTCCTCTGCTTCATCATGGGATGGTTTTCAATATGGTTATTATATTAGCACAGACATTTCTTCTTCATTAAGAACCACCAAATCACATAAATCCTATTTCTTTGCAACTGTATTGTCTTATTTATTTGACTTTGCCCCTATTGTTAGTCTAATTCTAGAGGTCGTAGCACCTGTGAAAATATTGCCGTGCACCAAAATATGAACAACAAACTGCTATGCATTTATTCAAGACTGCAGCTAAGTAGACATAGTCAGCAGTACGATAAGCAGGTGTCGCCTCCCTGAGCCAGTCAAAGAAAAACTAAGATCAACCATAGAGGAGTAAAGGAAGAAGTTGAAGAGAAAATTGGTGATCATATTAAAATGCTGCTGCTGCAGTAGCCATGTTTAATAATATGATGCATCCCTAAATGCACTGAAAGACATTTTTCACGAATAGGAACAAACTCATCAGATAAAATAAATAACAGCCATCCTTCCACATTTTGAAAAAAAAAACAGTACCTGACTGCATAAATGATAAGCCTATGTTTAACTTGAAACTTTCAAATTTTATTTATTCTAACAAATCATCATTTGGGATGCCGAGAGTCGGGGTCAAAAAGCCTCTTCCCAGGCTTGACTAGGACCATGACCCCACACAAAATGGCAAGAATAGGCAAGCATACAGGGCAATACAATAATGCATAAAGTGAAAAAAAGTGTATCTAGTTCAAATTTCACCATACATACACAAAAAAGATAGCTCAATGAATTTTAAAAAAGAAAAAAAGATGTGCACACCACCACTGCCATAATCTGAGTGAAATAGTTGCCTTGAGGTCCCTGACTGCCTTGAGGTCCCTAACAAGAAAGTCCGGGAAATGGGTCCCGACGCGCAATTGACAGCTGAACCACGAAGCCCACCTGAGGCCTGCTTCAGTGTCTTCCGCATGGCGTTCCACCGTGATGTCATTAGGAGCATTACAAGGCACAAATGTGGAGTTGGGATGGTTCCCTGCAGATGCATACCAACAGTGGCACCCTTCACACGAGTCATCTTCGGTTTTGGTCACTAGCTGACATGTGCTTGCGTTGGTTACCGATAAAGAGTCCACCAGCTCAAGTGGTAAACTGCAGCTGAAAGCTGCAGCCTTGAGATGGAACACCTCCCGAGCTCCATTCTCGGTAACGGCTAAGTAAGACTGAGTGGTGGCAGAGAGATGGGAGGGAGTCCGGCCAAAAACAGCAATCAGCTTGCAGCTCCATTCTGCCCACGATTGCTACTACACGCCTTCGTACCTAAGCCACGCTGTGGCACGATTTTGACGGTAATCGATGGCTATGCAGCAGTTTTGTTGTTCTGTCCATAACTTGCGAGCCCTGAGAGCATTGACGGTAGCCACCCAATCATCGTTGTTGTGCTGAAAGCCACGGAATGGCGCTAGTTCGCAGGCAGCCGGCGATGATGATAGAGCCACGAAAACTCATGTCGACCCGAAGCCGCCCAGTTGCTCTGAGAGCTCCATGAGGGAACACCGGAGCTTGTGACGGTTCTCGAGTGGGCTGGCCTCAAGTTTTCACGACACGGATGCAGCCAACATAGCCTTGAGTACGCACAAAGTTGGCAATGCGGCCGGTGACAGCTTGGAACTGGACGTTAGCAAGGCGTCAGTCATGACGCAGAGTTGTGCGATGGTGTGCTGCACCTCTGAGGCTCTGTTGGACAGTTCGATTGAAGACACAGGGCCAGCATCTGTTGAGGATACAGGGACTCTAGTCCTCATGGTGGTAAAATGAAAAACCAAGGACGCGTAGACAGCATCCCTTGGACATCCAGTGGCAATGTAAATTGGTAGCGCCAACGACGTTCCCAGGCAAACGAACCCTGTGTGATGTGTTGTGACCTCCTACTATGGCGTTAATAAAGCGATGCTCAGCCTTTGAGGAAGCCTGAACGCCATCCGCGGACGGTGCTGGAAGCGCTGACAGGTTGCCAGGTCTGGAGGAGGCATGCACATCGTCCCTATGCGAGAGGAGCCCGTGCGCAAGGTTAGCGCGAAGTATCACGTCACTGGGCAGGTTTCCCGGAACCACAATGGAGGCCTGGACGCCGTCCGCTGGTGGTGGAATCGACACTGGCCGCGACGGTCACCTTGTGGGTTCTATCAGCGAAGAAGCGTAACGGTGTTCCTCGGAAAGACGCAGGACCTCAAGCTGGCAAATGAGGTTCACGAAAGCCTTTCAATGACTGCGCCA